AAGCAGAGAGTCCTTGTTTCATGTATGAACCGGAAACACTAGAATGAATTTAATGACGAGGAGTCAAGCTGATGAAAAGTCTCCCAGGCCTATTTCGTGTAATTAGACTGGGACAAGGTCGATTTCTGTTATCTTACTGTAGATCACATAGTGATCTAACATACGCTTATTGTATACTAAACGGTGAACTTGGTACTTGTATTGCCTTATGTTTTCCTGCTACCTAGGACTGCTTGATTGAGAGGACATTCTAAGAAAGTTCAAAAACCGAGACCCAATTGTTTACACTGCAGTTCCGTTTTCAATGGTTAAAATAGTTGTGGATGGAATAGAAGAAGCCTTCGCTTAACGGGCTTCTATGTCTAGAAGTAATGGATCGCCAATACCTCAAGGCAGGAACCTAGGTATATTAACGATAAAAGAGGGAAAGAAGAAAATTGGTAAATCATAGTAAGATGTTATTCCTAGTCTTTAAGAATAGGTCAAGTTTCCTCTTAAAGGACTCCTGGGAAGTCGCTTGGACTAGCTCAGTCGGCGGCGAATCCCAGCATTAGACAACTCTTAAGGAGTAGAAGTTGTACCTACAGACTGTTCTGCTACGTTGGGTCTCCAATTTCTGGGTGTTACCCCTTACGTTTGTATTGTGACTAAGCTTAAGTAGACGCTTAAGGGGATGACCGGGAGTGTTAAGCATACTGTAAGCCATAAGAAGTTCACCCCTAAGACGCCTATATTCTAACGAGTAAAGGTTAAGTGATCGGAGGCCTTCTTTGTAAGGCTTCAATTTGAGTCCCTGAACTGATTTCGTGGCTCGCCGTTGGATACGCTCCAGAATGTCCTTATCCTTCTGGAGAGAGCGAGGAAATACTATGTTTCCGTACTCTAAATGAGGACGAATAAAACTGTTGAAGAATATATGGAAAGTTCTTACGTCAAACTGGCCCAAAGTGCACGTCACTGTTGCCGGTGCAAGGCGTTTTTGTCATAGCTCAAGACTTCAAGTCGTAGGGTACCAACACTCTTAATTTTTTTCAACTAGAGATACTTCTAGAGAGGAGTTGCCTACGTTGTAACTGTAATCTGCAGCACGTCGCAGATTAACTGCCATACACTTTGAAGTGTTAAACGTTAGTCCAATGTCGTCCGCCCAACTTTGAAGTCGAGTCAGATCCTCCTGAAGTGCCAGTTTATCCTCTTGGTTGCGTATCTCTCTCCACAGTTTCAAATCATCAGCAAAAGTAATAAGCTAGACGATACTTGTTGCGGAAGATCGTTTATATAAATCAAGAGAATAGGTCTTAGTACTGAACCCTAGGGGACCCCACTAGGAAATTCCTCAGCCTGTGAGAGAGTAAGGTTAACCCTGACCTTAAAATGTTGATCTTTTAGATATGGAGTTAGTCAATCAAGTAAACGTGATTTGATACCCAGTCGTCTAAGCTTATCGATAAAACATATGTAGTCGGCCCTATCAAAAGCTTTTGAGAAGTCTAGGTAAATGACGTGAAACTTCCTCTTGTGATCAAGGATCATTGTCCATCTGTCCACCACCGTCAGCAAGTTGGTTATACAAGAGTGATTTTTTTCTGAAACCGTGCTGTTGGGGTAAAAAGAATTTCATGGATAATAAGTAGTTGTGTATATCATCGTATATCAAGGACTCCATAATTTTAGACGGTTTGGAGAGAAAGGCCACCGGTCGGTAGCTTGAAGGTTCGCTGCGTGGACCTCCCTTGAAAACTGTTGTGATGTGAGATAGCTTCCAAATTTCCGGTAATGTGGCCCGGCATGTCTAGTGTGAGATCGCTACGCTAAGCGGTGTTGCCAGGATTGAAGCTCCTTCTCTCAGGATAGTAGAACGAACCATATACGGACCGGGAGAAGTGTCTTTTCTTAGGTTCTGAAGTTTACGGAACACCAGGTCAGCACTCAGGTTCACTTCATGAAGTCCTATGAAGTTTCAGATGAAGCTTTCATCAGTATAGTTGATGTGGGTCAGTTGAAATGTTCGAGAGCATTAATCAGTCAAAAGGTTAGCGGCATCCTCATCGTTGTTGGTCGGGCCATTAGGACCTAGCAGGCGAGAAAATCCAGTTTTGGCTTGTCGAAGAGAAACTGCACGACGGAATAAGCTTTCAGGATCGGAGACAAATTTATAGATAAGCTTTATCTTGTATTGAGGCTCGTCTTCTCTTATTGCCTTTGTGCATATGTTCTTTATTTGTTTGAATTGCCTGTACGCGCTGTTGTTATCGGTTCGTTTATATTCAGCCCAGCTGTGCCTTTTGCGGCTTAGCAAAAGAAAAGTGCGGTTCTTGATGACTGTAGGTTGTTTGCAGAGTTTGGGGAACGTTCGAGGAACTGAATGCTTAGTAGCACATAGGAGCGTGTGCAGTAAGAAATCCCAATGAGAATCCACACCAAGTTGAGTGCGAACATCCTACTACACCTGTAGTAGATAGTCCTGTGAAGCTGAAGCTTTCAATAGTTTGAAATTCCAGAGCATATTGTTGGTGGGATATCCTAGCTCCGTTTTGCTGACAAAACTAAAGGATATAATTGCGTGATCGCTTTTCCCTAGGGGAGCCAGAATTAAGAGGTTGCCGACTAAGAATTCTTCATTTGTGAATACCCATTCTAAGCGCGACGGTATTTGGTTGTTTCTCCAATTAGTTTCCGACTTTATATTTTCGAATGATCCCAGATCTTCAATGAGGATGAAGAACCGAACTTCAGTAGAGTTTTCACCTCCAATGTACGTATGTTCCGCGAAATCGACTCTAAGAAGATTGAAGTCCCCTAGAATCGGGATATGAGAAAATCCGAGACGCGTAGAGCGGGATAATCCTTCCAGCATACGATTTTCGTACCAAATGTCAGCAGTGGTCTTCCTGTAGGTAACTCCATCCAGACACCTCGAGATGGTAGACAATCTTACTGAGCACCACCAGTCGTGAAATAAAGACATCATGGGTATTGCTAGCTCCTGGTCCGCCAACTGAGATGATATTCATGTTTCAGATATTCCTATCAGATGAGCGTTATTAATACTGCTACGTTTATGTAGCTCATCCATTTTGTTCGGCAAACACGCGGCGTTCATCTATAAGCAGTTTATGCTTTCAATTTGAAACGCGTGAGCTTCCCCGTCCTGATTCCCTGTATGAGCCTTAAGTGAATGGAGAGGTGGCCTATCTATACACGGTTTTCCGAGTTGGTAGCCCCTGTTCTTTCTACGTTTTCTCTACGATCAAGACAGTTCACAAGTGGAATGGTCAGCTCCAACTTGCTTTTGTGCTTGATCCTGGCATCATGTGGCCTATCCTGGTGCATATGGATTCCAGTCGGCAACCGGCGTCTGTTGGTATGAAATACTTTCCAGAGTTTTAACCGCCATATGAAGGGATTGGAAGGTTATCTTTGTCAGCGAGGGTCTAGAACCACCGACCTTCTTGGTTAGTACCAACACTTGTAGAGTCAATATATTTTTGAACTCCAAGGACTGCTTGATGCATTTCTATTGCCGAATATCAGTTTGCGTGGTCAGGGTTTGTGTTTTCCGTCAAACCTTGCATAATGATATTTCTTCCGCGGAAAAACATCTCATGAGATTCTTAGGGATGTTCCGGATGAGATTTCAATCAGAATACGGTATGTAAGGCAGTATTTTAAATTCCTATCTGATTTCAGTAAGTGACTAGCTTGTGGCGGACTAAAACGTATATTAACTCAAAATAGCAATGAAGTTATTACGTCCAGACGTTAATATAATACTATACGAATTGTAAGTTACGAACACAAATAAAAGTTAAGTGACGTTATTTAAATCAGCTGGTTGGTGCGTGTTCTGTTGCGTTTAGTACAAGAATCCACAATTATAGATAATTAATAACTCCGCTGAGGTTGATATGGCTTCAGTAATATAGCTAAATGCACAAAATAATGGAAATGTTACAACAGTCTATAAATGTAGATGATAGTTATTTCATAGTCCAATAATCATAACCACAGGCGATTGAGAGCCAGGCGTGTGTGTAACAGTGTATTTACGAGCGGTTAACAGTGTCATGCTATGTGGGATTCAAAAACGAGAGTGAGTGTTCAAGGTCATACACTTGAACAACATGTACAATCATTTTGTGATAAATGTACAGATTTTGAAAATTGACAACATAAATGGAAATAATATGAAAAGCTATTTATAAAGTAGGTTTTCCATGACTGTCTCCACAAGCCAGCAGGACGTTCTCTACGTCGGAAGCATTCTTGAGTGTTACACGAAGTAGCCTTGGGTGATTTTGATGCTCAGGGTCCTTTCCCCAAGTGAGCCATGTGACCGTCAAAAGCTCTATTCTAGGAAGTTCAAACTTCATGTTTAATTCTCTCCAGAGCATCCAGTCATTTTTGTCCTGCAAACGGAGTAGAAGGTCAGGGTTGTCTCTAGGGTTCATGATTATGAGGAAGTCATCACGAACCGTTATCGACTTTCTAGGTGTTTCAGTGCGTCCAGGTTCGGCACCTTGTTGTTTGGATGTCGAAGCTCATTCATCGAACAGTGAATTACTGCGATTCTCTACCAGAATACGTAATATAATCACCTTCTCTTGGTACATTCAAAGCGCAGTTGGACCTCCGTTATGTTGCAAATCACAAGGGTCAATATATGTCGGTAGATCTCCTAACCTTGCTATTGAAGACTAAAGAATGAATTAGTATTTGCCACAAGAACTACAAAAATATGCCAAGGTTTGAACGAAAATTTTGCAATGAAAGATGCTCTCTTAAATCTGTAAATTCTCCAAGGGAAAACGAAAGGACAGGAAACAAACAAAATCGTTCAAAAAAGTATTTAAGATTCCGAGGACGGAGCGCTAGATTCAACTTGCTTACGTACTTAGACGGCCCGCTTAAAGCCTGCTAGATATTACGGGGATTGGCAAAAGTCGTCCGACCTACTGTTGATTTTGAAGTGTAAAGGGCAGATTTATTTCATCGACAGTATGAATCTTTTTGGGCGTAAGAAGGACCCGAAGACTCATTTAAATGAAATGACTTCTGTCTTGAAGAGACAGAAATATCCTCTTCAAAGAGACATTCAGACCCATCTACGACAGCAAAAACAACTAGAAATGGCCATTAGGAAATGTGCTAAAGAATCGGACATTCCTTCTGCAAAAGTTTACGCCAAGGAATATGCGGAATCCAAAAAGGCTGTTGCTCGTTTGTATCTTGCACTATCGCAAATTGATTGTGTGGCTATGGAATTGCGTCATATGGCTTCCATGAATAAGCTGGCCAGTGGTATGCAAAAGAGTACAACAGTCATGAATGCTATGTCGTCTTTAGTGAAAGTAAGTTTTTTTTAAAGTCTAAGTCATTTATGACCTAGTGTGTAATGTAGTCCACTACATATTTGATACACCTTTTATCTTGGAGTTTAAGATGTAGCTAAACTCCTAGTTGGTGGGCTGTTTATTAAATGATATAAGAAGCGTAAGCGTGGTTAGTGAGATGTTTTTACCACTCTATTCATTGACATTAACCCACACCATTCTGTTCAGTCAGTCAGTCTTTTACAACGTAGGACCACGCACATAAATCCATCAGTTTAATTCTTCATACCTCATTGGCACAAGATGAACACTAAATTTATGGAAGCAGTTACTTAAATGGTAGGAGACAGTTATTGCATATTAGGACATAATACAGGAAGAAAGAATTAGTTGGTAGAAAGAAAGGTATGAAACAATTTAACCTCACAGTTTAAGGGAAGACAAGGAGTGTTTACACCTACACCATTATGATTAATCCTAAGCCATGTCACCCAGAGTCTCCAACCATTGGTTACAGTAGTCATGCGGACCCCAACCAGGTAGTCTGCATCTACCAACATGGCTCACACGAGAAGTTAGTGACTTAATGATCAGATACCACGTTTTAGTTTGGCCACCTGTAACTTTCTTCCAACCATCCCCAATACTAGTCAGCAGTGCGCGTCGTGGTAATCGGTGTTCAGGCATACGTAACAAGTGACCCAACCATCTCAGTCGATGAAGATTCGCCGGATTGGGTTGCATCGGCACCTGGACTAATGATAGGAAGTGAAGTAGTTGACTGCTTCACTTATCTTGGGAGTCTCATCGACCCTTGTGGCCTGGTGTGTGACGAAATCTCAGCACGGATACAGAAGGCTCGTCTAGCTTTCGCCAACTTGCGTCATTTATGGTGTAGGCGAGATATCCGTCTAGCTACCAAAGGACAGGTTTACTGTGCAGCAGTTCGTTCCGTCCTACTTTATGGCAGTGAAACATGGCCGGTAAGAGTAGAGGATATTCGTAGGCTACTAGTATTCGATCATAGGTGTCTTCGAAACATTGCTCGTATATGCTGGGACCACCGGATAAGTAATGCAGATGTTAGGAAACGGGTACTAGGTAAGGATGGCAAATCGATTGATGAAGTAGTGAAATTTAATCAGTTGAGATGGCTGGGACACATGTTACCTATGCCCAACCACCGACTACCCCAACGTGCAATGCTTTGTGGTGTAGGAGTAAGTCGGAAGAAAGCTAGGGGCGGCCAGAACAAAACGTGGCATAAATCCATGAAGTCAGTGACAAGTGTACTGAGTCGTGTTGGTAGGTGTAGACTACCTGGTTGGGATTCGCGAGATGATAGCAATCGATGGTTAGAGACCTTGAATGACATGGCTCAAAATCGTTTGCAATGGCGAAAGTGCATCCACTCTTTGTGTTCTACAAAATTCTAATCTTCTGAATTCTTCATGTCTCTATCCTTTTTCTCTTTCCAAATTTATTTCATTGTACTATACTCGTTCAATAATTTCTTCAAACCCTAATCTTTTGGATTTCTGATTATACTCCTACTACTTCTACCACTATGGGGATTGAATCGACAACTTTATCTCTATGCTAATGTGGTATGGCAACTCGAACTGATGTCCGTACGTACGAAGTTCTACGTTGTGACTGATTTACTGACAACCTCATCAACTGGTTTACCATCATTCCCTAATACCTTATGTCTAACTTCACTATTACTTACCCGATGATTCCAGCAGACGCTGGCAAAATTTCTAAAACATCTGTGGTCAAATACTAGTAACTTATGAATATCTTCTACTCTTAATGGACACGTTTCACAGCTGCAAAGTAGAACATACTCGTCCTTTAATTGATAGACGGATATCTCGTCTTCGCCACAGGTGATGTAAATTGGCAAAAGCCAAACGAGCTTTTTGAATCCGTGCTGAGATTTCGTCACACCAACCCATTAGGACTGATCAGACTTCCAAGATAAGTGAAGTTGTCGACGCGATCGTCTACTTCACTCCCTATCCTTAGTTTGGGTGTTGACACAGGCCAGTCCTGGAGTAACAATTTACATTTGGATGGGGAGAAACGCATCCCAAACATCCTGGCATTATTACTCAGTTCCAACAGAAGACTCTGCATTTTGTCAGTGTCTTCACCAAACAGGACTATGTCATCTGCGTATTCTAAGTCGCTTAGTGGTCCCCCTGGTAGGAGATCAATTCCTGTAAATTCAGTCGAAGAGAGTGTTATTTCCAGCAACAGGTCTATAATGAAGTTAAACAAAAATGGGGATAGTGGACAACCTTGACGGACACCACTTGAGGTTGTAAAATCATATGACAGTTCGCCATAACCTCTCACTCGACTGGTAGTGTTCGAGTAAAGAGCCTTCACAAGGTTTATGTACTTCTGAGGTACACCTTACAATGACAGACACTGCCTCAGAACCTCTCGGTCTACAGAGTCAAATGCTGCTTTCAACTCAAGAAAAACTATTGTCGGACGCCGATAAGCGTGTCTGTGCTCTAAAACTTGACGAATGGTGAATATGTGGTCGATACAGCCACGACCAGGTCTGAAGCCAGCCTGATTTTCTCGTGTTTGCAGTTCACGAGTCTTAGTTAGGCGCCTGATAATTATTGAGGCTAGTATTTTAGATGCTATTTTAGTCAGACTAATCCCTCTATGGTTATCACAGGATGATTTTGACCCCTTTTTATATATTGGGACAATCAGTGATTGTGACCAGTCAGATGGGATTACGTCCGTCTCCCAGGTTTTAGCCAAAATATTAGTCAACCTAATCGCTAAAATTGGACCACCATATTTAAAGACCTCTGAAGCCAATCCATCTGGACCAGCTGCTCTTCCTCGTTTCAGATTACTTATAGCCTTTTGAACTTCAAGTAGGGTCAGGGGGCCTACTTCAATGTTCCACTCAGGTTTTCTGGGAATAGTGGGTAGTTGTGCAGTAGCTGAAGGCCAGCTAAACTGCTCCTTAAAGTGTTCCGCCCATCGTTCTAAACGTTTGGGTTGAGAGCAGATAAGGGTTCCGTCTTTTTCCGAGATTGCCTCACTTACACTTGACTTATTAATTCCGGTTTCTTTTATTAGTCTGAATAGTTGTCTGGTGTTGCCTACAGCCGCTACCTTTTCCATCTCTTTTGCTTTCGTTGCCCACCACTGCTCACGATCGTTCCTTAGACTTTTAGTTAACCTAGATCTAATTTGTTTACGCTCTTCGTCATGTTCAGAGCCTGATGGGATGAGTTTACGCGAATCCATTAGTGAAATAGACTTAGAAGAAATCCACTGGTTTTTTGGAGCCCTATGGTTTAAATGACTAATAGATGTTACTGCTGTTTCCACAGCTGTTCGTATATCTTTCCAAGCAGCATCTGGGTCAGTCTCGTTTTCAGAACTGCCTAGATGTGAACTCAGTTGTTTCTGGAATTCGCATTTGGCTTTCTCGTCCTCCAGTTCAATCCTAATGGGTCTTCTTAGTGTACTTTTCCTGCGTCCATTGAGGCGCAGACAAATGCGCGCTCGTATTAAAGCGTGATCAGAGTCTAAACAAGTATTCCAATACGAGCGATAATCTTCTATTGAGCCTCTCCAACGATGACTGATGACAATATGGTCTATTTGAGTCCATCGTTGGTTTGGTGCAGGTGGTCGCCATGTTAGACGATGTCTCTCCTTATGCTTAAGATAAGTATTTGCTAAAAATAAACGATTGTCTGAGCATAGTTGCAACAGACGATCACCATTATCGGTTCGTTGAGCCGGAATACTAAAACACCCACCTAGATGTCTTTCTGTTTGATTTAAGCTGCCTACCTGGGCATTAAAGTCACCCGCTACGACTACTATGTCTGAGCGCTTAGCTTTCTGAAGAAGCTCAGAGAGCTTTCTGTAAAAGTCATCTTTCACCTCATCATGGCTGCAGTCAGTGGGAGCGTAGGCAGAAACGACGAAAAGGCAACGACGTGTGTCCCTATCCTTCCGAGTTCTTACGGAGCCATTTAGCCGGACAGCACACAGGCGACTGTCAATGGGGATCCATTCTAGTAGTGCCTGTTCTGCCCTTGTACTTAGTGCTATGCCTACACCTGCAAGTCCACGAGAACTAGCCAACGGGTCTCCAGGTACACGGAGGGTGTATTTCGTTGGCTGTCCATTTTGGCGAGGTGAGGTCAAGTGAATGACCATACTGGGATCCTGTATGCGTGTTTCGAAGACACAGCATACATCAATGGTACGAGATTCTAGGGTTTTAACTAAGGAGGCCTGTTGACCGACTTGGCATAGGGTACGTACGTTGAAGGCTCCAATGTGTAGTTTGGAGCGAGGTTTTAGTAGACCTGGAACAGCGTTTCGCGCACTAGAATTGTTGGCCATGGTGACACTTGAGGAGGAAACCGAGAGAGGAAGTTTAGTGTTGAAAGTCAAGGTAGAAGGAATAGTAGGAAGTGAAGAAGATTGATTATGAATACAGTGGTCTTGAGTGCTGTTAGAGGTATGAGGGCAGTTATCACTTCCCGGTTGCCCACACCGTGGAAGGGTTCTTCTAGGGGTACCTGAAAAGGAAATTGGGTTAGAAGTGGTCTTAATGACCTGAGAGCGTGACCGCAGTGCCCAAGGGACAACTGCTTGAGGTCGGTCACACACGACCTTTTTGTGGGTAGTTTTTGTGTTAGCTCCGTTCTTCAAAGGACCTTACCACCGGAGACGGATATCCGTGGGATAAGGCGAGGTGTGCATTTTTAGGGTCGACCCTTTCTAACCCCACCCCTCCTTGTGGGAAGGCAGCATCGCTGTCATGCTGGTTGTCTGAAGGAAACACCTTACTGCTATCACACCTCTGTACAGTCAGCAGTACGACTTCGCCTTCGGACCTTGGGTTTGCTGCTTTTAGTCTCACCGCTCTTCAAACGACCTGCCTGGCATGGTAGGACCTTGAGGAACAATTGTTCCAGCCAGTATAGCTCGATTGATTCATCACGATAGGCAAGCCCGACCACCACGTCCAGGTAGCAGCAACTGTCGGGCATATTGGGCGTAGGTAACACTAGACATTTGTTCAAAATTATCTAGGAAACGGGTTAAAAATTCGTCTCTTGGAACTTTCTCGGAAAATGACGATATTTTTTCATCCAATCTAGAAGATTGGGATCATGGAGTGAACACCTAAGTGAATAGTTCAAGTCCTCCTCAGCCACACTTTAGTTATGCACCATTTCCAAGAAACCTGAACGTCAATGTAATGTAAGTCATTGAACTCTTAGTGAGGTTGGGAAGGCTGTGGGTAATCTAAAGCTATGAAGAGCATCGGGGCCTGGTGGACCAAACTCTGAGATTTTTAAGGATAGTTGTCCAGGTTTAACAGTTCAATTAACTGAGGTACTAGCTGAAATCTGGTTACTGAATGTAATTGCATCTGACTCTTGTTGATCACTGATCGTTCCACTTTATAAAAAAAATTCTCTTGCGACAATCACTGAGAGATCAGTCTAGTTAATATAGCGCCTTTAATATTAACCTCAGTAATACTTTGACATCTAACTATAGCTCACGAAGAGCGAACCCGAGAAAACCATGCTGGTTTCAAATGTGGGTGTGAATGAAAAGACTAAACGCTCACTCTTATGTAGGTTCTGGAACATAGACATAATTCTAACATCCAACTATAGTTGTATCCCTTGACCTTAAGGCGATGTTCGATTCAGTTAATCATGAATTACTGTGGCGGTATCTGTCATTAAAAGGCGTACCAAAGAAGTTCATTAACCTTCTACAGGCTCTCCACGCGAACACTATCGGTCGATTCAGAGCTTATGGTGAAATATAATCTATGTTTGTTAATTGAAGTGGTGTTTGTCAACGTTATCCGCTCTCCCCATTTGACTTTGCCACAGATATGTTTTTTGTGATAAAACTTTCATCGTCTTACTTCTCAGGGGTTGATCTTCCACTATGAGATTCACTTATTGACTTAAAATAAGTAGATAACATAGTTCTGTTTGATAAAGACGGTAACAAAATGTAGTCTTCTGATCACCTTAAGCAACAATGCAAGAATGTTTGGGGTGCGGTTATCTCCCTTCAGTACTTTCTTAGTTCATCGCCTGAATTAATGACAGGGAATGGAGTAATTGAACGCATCGATCACTTCAATTGTCTTGGGAGTCTGATCAATCTTGATATTTTGGTTTCTGACGAAATCTCGGCACGGATTCAGAGGCCTCGATTGGCTTTTGCTAACTTGCACCACTTGTGGTGTAGGCGAGATATCCACCTCTCAACTAATGGACGAGTTTACTGCTCGGTAATTCTCTCTTTCCCACCTTATGAATGGAAAACATGGTCATTTAGAGTTAAAGGATATTCGTAGTATACTGGTGTTTGATCATAAGTGTCTTCAAAGCATTGCTTGTGTATTTTGGGACCACGAAATAAGCAATGCTTGGGTTAGGAATAATGTACTTGGTAAAGTTGGAAGTTGATTGATGAGATAGTAAATCAAGACCAACTGAAGTGTTTGGGACATGCGTTACGTATGCCAAACCACCACCTACCTCGACGGGTGATGTTTCCTGGTGTAGAAGTAGGCTGAAGGGAAGTTGGTAATTTCACTTTGCCATATAGATGAATGCAGTCTACCTGATTGGGGTCGGCAAATCACAAGAGTAAAACCGTGACCGGCGCCCCCAAATGTCCTGGTACGGCCGAGAGTGGGGAGAGTCCGCTCTCCCTCTCGAGATGCTCTCTCATGGCCACGCGAATATATAGCCTCTGCCAGGGAAGTTCTACTCACTGCCTTCTCGTGGCGGGGGTGTTGTTTACGAAAGTGAGAGGACGAAAAGCACATGTCTGGCGCTTTAACCGGGTTGGTGGACATGGCGAGTTCACCTAGGGGAGTTGGAAAACCCTGATTCCAAACCAATGATGCACATGGGCTCCAGTACCCTGATGGAACAAATGGCGTATGAACCTATTGTCGGTCACCGGCTACCATGGGACTGCATCCCCTTAGGATGCTCCACTGCCTTGTGGATCAGACCTTTAAGTTAAAGGCTCCGGGTGTGGCCCCCTAAGAAAACCACCTACTTCAGTCTGGGCACCCGGGCAGTATCACAGCCCTCACATAAATCAAATGAGATTTGTGAGGCGCATATTTATCTGGTGCTTTTTTGTACCAATATTTATGTGTTTAAATAAATAAATAAATAAAAAAGATTGGGATCGGCGTGATCATCGCAACCAATTGTTAGAGACTTTGAACTATGTGGCTCAAAATCGTTTGCAACGGCTTAGGTGCATTCGTTCCTTGTCTTCCATGGAATTCTAGATTCCTCATAACTTTATATTTTATTCCATTAATTCATATTTTCTAAAATCGTATCTTCGACGCCTAATCATTTTAGTCACTTTTGATTCTGTTACGACCTGTACTGTTCTGAGATTTGGCCTGACAATTTCATCTTTCTTTGTTAATGGCGTATGACAACTTGAATATATGTACATACGTACCAGATTCTGCATTGTGACCGAGTTTCTATGGTAGTTGAGTTTTGATTATTTGAAAAACTATCTTTGTCTACATATTTTTGTATCTTTGCATATTTATAGTATTAAATATTTTCTTCCATTAGATTATCAATAGAGATCGTAGTCAGAAAATCTATAAAACGTTTTTTCATTTTATAGATACCTGAACTTCAATCTACAATGCAAAATTTAAGTAAAGAAATGATGAAAGCTGGTATCATGGAAGAAATGATCAGTGACACTTTCGAACCAATCAGTTCTGTCGAAAATGCAGACGATTTGGTGTCTGCCGAAGTTGATAAAGTTTTATGGGATCTGACGGCTGGCCAGTTAGGTAAAGCTCCAGAACCTGCTTACGATCCATTCTCAGTTTCTAAAGCACAAACTGAACTCTCCGTTTTATCAGTTCAAGATGATGGTGAAACAGAAATGGATGCACGTTTGGCTGCCCTTCGCAGTTGAACTATTTTTTGCCAATCTTTAACATCACATGGGCTTTCTAGTTATAAAATGACTTGAGTTTATATTGTACAGAAAAAGTAATATTCATGATTTTGTTCTTTGTATCCATAAAACAAGCTGTTACTTAATTTTATTTGTACCTCAGGTTTTCAACTGAATCTTAGCACTATCTCAAGCTCGCAATATTTTTTCCTATTATAGAGGAGGTGAAAAAACTGAGGTTTTTTGCACATGTGTATATCTAAAGTAACTCAGACTTTATTTTTATTTCCCTGTTTTTCCGTACTAAAAAACAATCAGTTTCAGTGTAAAATTACTCTCATTTTATAGTAATATTAATTTGTACACATACCTTTTTACTATGATTTCCGTTAAGTGTTACTCTATTTTCCTTAATAAATGTAAAATTACGATGACATAGTTAACCAATGCTTTAGACCATATAGGCTACTGGTAAAGCTCCTATCATTTTCACAATACGCGAATAGTATGTTGATTGGACTCGAATTCTTATTCTGTTATGTCGAATCTATATCAGTCGTAAAATCCTTGCGAAACCTTGTTGAGCTTCTAGGTTTATTTTTACTGTCAGCTGTTTCTGTACGAGTGTATCAATCTAATTTTGTTAACTTTGGTGTCTTATTTACCTGAAATTGGCTAAGATATGCTTCCAGGTCCTGGGATATTGGAAAACTGACTCGAAAAATGCATAAATAAGATATGCCATGGCGGAAAAAGCTGCAAGAGAAGGGAATATGAAACAACTGTATGATACAACGAAGAAATTGGCAGGGAGATATAGCAAACCAGAGAGACCAGTCAAGGACAAAGAAGGAAAGACAATCACTGAGATTCAAGAACAGAGGAAAAGATGGGCAGAATACTTTGAGGAACTGCTGAATAGACCAGCCCCATTGAATCCACCGAACATCGAAGCAGCCCACACAGACCTTCCAATAGATGTCACTCCACCAACGATCGGAGAAGTCAAGATGGCCATCAGACAAATCAAAAGTGGGAAGGCGGCAGGACCTGACAATATACCAGCAGAAGCATTGAAGTCAGACATTGAAATAACTGCGAATATGCTCCACCTTCCATTCAAGAAGATTTGGGAAGAGGAACAAGTGCCAATGGACTGGAAAGAAGGATATCTCATCAAGATACCAAAGAAAGGAGATCTGAGCCAATGTAAGAACTACAGAGGCATCAGTTTGTTATCAGTACCAGGAAAAGTTTTCAACAGAGTGCTGCTGAATCGGATGAAAGACGCAGTAGACGCCGAACTTAGGGATCAACAGGCTGGATTCCGTAAGGATCGGTCGTGCACAGACCAGATTGCGACACCACGGATCATCGTTGAACAATCAGTTGAGTGGAACTCATCACTATACGTCAACTTCATCGACTATGAGAAGGCGTTTGACAGCGTGGATAGGAGAACATTATGGAAACTTCTTCGACACTATGGAGTTCCTGAAAAGATTGTCAACATTATCCAAAACTCATACGATGGACTACAGTGCAAAGTGGTGCATGGAGGACAGCTGACAGATGCATTTCCAGTAAGGACCGGAGTCAGACAAGGCTGTCTACTCTCCCCATTCCTCTTCCTTCTAGTGATTGACTGGATTATGAAGAATTCGACATCTGAAGGGAAATACGGAATACAATGGACTTCTCAGAATCAATTAGATGATTTGGACTTCGCAGATGACCTAGCCCTCCTCTCTCATACACACGACCAAATGCAGGTGAAGACAGCAAATGTAGCAGCAGCCTCCACGTCGATAGACCTCCACATTCACAAAGGAAAAAGCAAGATTCTCAGATGCAACACGGAGAACACCAACCCAATCACACTTGATGGCGAAACTCTGGAAGAGGTGGAAACATTCAAGTACCTGGGGAGCATCGTTGATAAACAAGGAGGATCGGATGCAGATGTAAAGGCAAGGATTGGCAGAGCAAGGGCAGCATTTCTACAATTGCAGAACATATGGAACTCAAAACAACTCTCAACCAATTTCAAGGTCAGAATCTTTAATACGAACGTCAAGACAGTCCTACTGTATGGAGCTGAAACGTGGAGAATTACTACGGCCATCATCAGGAAGGTACAAGTATTTATAAACAGTTGTCTACGCAAAATACTCAACATTCATTGGCCGGATACTATCAGCAACAGCGTTTTATGGGAGAGGACAAACCAGCTTCCAGCTGAATAGGAAATTAGGAAAAGACGTTGGAAGTGGGTCGAACATACATTAAGGAAATCACCAATGTGCATCACGACTCAATCCCTAACTTGGAATCCGGAAGGGAAGCGGAGAAGAGGAAGGCCAAAGAACACACTACGCCGGGAAATAGAAGCAGATATGAAAAGGATGAATAGCAACTGGAAAGGAAGGCTCAGGACAGGGTTGGATGGAGAATGCTGGTGAGCGGCCTTTGCTCCTCGACGAGGGGTAACAGGCGTAAGTAAGTAAGATATATCATAGCATAAATTTCACTGATCACGTTTCCTAGAAATTATGCTTTATTTATTTAAAATAAATAAATGCTTTATCATTCTATTGGAGAATAAGAAGCAGTCTGCCAGAACTGGACTTCTCGTTTTTCTTTCAGGATTCATTCGCTACTTTAAATAGGGTTTCATTGAACAATAATAAAAGTATCCTGTCCATTGCAACGTTAATAGTTCAATACCATGCTATTGACCAGTATGATCAGGGTCATACTAGTCATTAGTAGTTACCTGCATACATAAAATTGGAAGTGTGGTAAGAACTGAATGAGTTTTGTTTGAATGTTTACTAATTGAGAGTATTTATTTACACATAAATATTGGTATAAGGGGACACCAGATATATATGCGCCACACAATTGAGAGTATAGTTTATTTTTGTCAGAGATATTATTGATATCTTATGTCTATTAATAGTAAGTTACGTAGTAAAAATGCTTCAGAAAAATAACAGAATTGCTTCAGGCTTTTAACAGATGGATTTATTCATACAGAAAGTCACAGGATTACATATGATGCACCAATCAATAATCATAGTGATTAAAATCTGGTACTTATATCATACGATTGAGAATGTCGATGTTTATAATTTTGTTTTACGAACTTGCCAATAGGTGCCTAAACCTAAAATTGTATATCATTATTAACTATAATTGATGACTGTACACTTCAAAAGAACATTCGTGAAGCTATACACTAATCTATTTTTCTTTTAAGAAAAGTAATTGTATTATTTATTAGGAGCTGATCACTTATTTTGCATTACTCAATTGTAATTTTTTTGTAAAGCAGTTGAACAGGTTCATATTGATAAAAATAAACATCTTGATTCCTTCTCTAAAGTTTTTAACCATATATATTGTATGAAGATCATAATTCATATTAATTTCCTGACAAAAACTGATGAATTGGGTTAAATTTATTAGCCCCAGCCCTGATTTTCTTCATAGCTTATAATATACAAGTAGCTAATTGTATAGAATTCATCCATTCATATAATTCCCTTACTTAAATTGCTGCAGAATGTTTATTTATTTATTTGAACACATAAATGTTGGCACAAGGGGTCACCAGAATGTATATGTGGCACACAATAAAAATGAGGTTTTGTAGAGAGAGAGAGAGAGAGGTGAGTATAATAAAAAAGAACAGCGATGTATGAGGGTGAGATAATAATAATAAGATAAACAGTTCACTTGGGAAGAAAGTTACGGCGTGATTCCCGCTGGTGTTCTATTCTGCGCCATGTTAGATAACGTCTCAAGCCACTGTACTGCACCATCTCCAGGACCCTAACTAAGACGTCATGCAATTGCAGTCAATGCTTATATACACTTTTCAGAGCTTCCGCTACACTGGTTGTCTTGACCTGCATTTCCTCGTGTGTATGGTCAGGTTTGGCTAGGTGATCTGCGAAGTCCAAATCGTCGGGTTGCAAGCAATCTGATCATTATATTCCGTGCTTTCCCTCAGATGCGGAGGTCTTCATAATCCAGTCACATTTGCTTATGTCTCCTTTCTTTGGTATCTTGATGAGATATCCTTCTTTCCAGCTAACACTTCAGTGGGTTTAAAGTCTTCTTACTACACAAATTTTTAGTCAAATTAATATTAGATCAAAAAGAAAATAGTAATGTGAAATTGTATTGAACATGGACAGTAGAATTTCATCAAAAATTTCGATCACTAGAAGTCTTCATCGTATATCTTCATTTAAACAATTAACTAAGTTGGTAAAGGAAATACACTCATTGAGAGAAAATAAAATATATTTCAGCGAATTTCTTTTCAAAACTGTACAATGGTGAATATATACTTACTTTTTTTCAAAATGATAATAATTACAATAAGTGACGATAGAATTTTGCTAAACATGGTTACCTTAACAAAAATAACGTTTTAATGCCTTAACTTATTTAACCTCACTGTTGCCATGCTTAGCAAAATTTTATTATTACTTCTTGTCATTGTTATCATTTTAAAAAATAAGTATGTATTTGCGATTGTACAGCTTGAAAAATGAATTCACTTAACTAATTTGGTGTTTCAGCAATTTGTTATTCCTTAAAAATTCTTAAACAAATATATCCTTCATATTTCAACTTCTAATTAAAATAGAATCTCCATCTTCATTTGTTATTGTTATTTTCAGAAGGGGTTTTTTGTGGAGATTTTAGCAAGTTTATAGTTGAAATCATGAGTCAATTGAAGCTGGACCACCATGGAAAACCTGGAAGCACTGGACGGCCGTTTCGTTCTATTGTGGGACTCCTCAGCCGTGGGCATCCACGATCCCACCTCGCGAGATTCGAACCCAGGTTTTCTATGGTGGTCTAAATTCAATTGACTCATGATTTCAACTATAAAATTACTAAAATCTCCACAAAAAACCCTTCTGATAATAATCATATGCTCACTAGTGACTGGTTTCAAGAGATATTTCCTGGGGTCCTAGTAAGAAGCAGTGACCAGT